TCAAATGCTGTGGATGTGTGCGTGTGTGTGTGTGTGTGTGTGTGTGTGTGTGTGTGTGCATATTAGTCACAGTGGGCTCACACAGATCTTGTGTGTGTTCTTTTTTGCTTTATCCTTACTGCATGTCTCCGCTCACATGGCTGTTGTTTGTGTTCATTTAGCCCTGCAGACAGACAAGAGATCCGATTGGCCGACTGTCCCCAGACATCTGACGAGGCACTCTGTCAGAACGTGGTCGCTTGCAGCAGGTCACCTCATTTCCTCTGACACAGTCTCACACACACACTCACACACACATGCACTTGCGCACACACTGTAGAATCGGCGCACATCTACAAATATGGACAAAGGGTCAACCACAAGCGTGTTCATACACACACGGTAACAACATAAATCATTGTGACAGATAGCATTATTCAGCTGTGAGTTGCTCCTCTGTGGATAACACAGCAAAATAAAACGTGTTTTTACTTATATTTCACTGCTTGTTTAGCTTCATCACTGGCTGACATAAGACTGACTTCGCTTTTTCTGCTGCATGATCTAAGTGCCTTTTCTGTTCAGTCTGTCATGGATAGTAAGATGTATTACATAAATGTTATTAGACCGTTTAGAGGTGCAAATGTTTAAGTGAAACATAGAAAGGAGGTCAAATGAACACTAAGTACAAGTGACATGATGATCTTAAAATTTTTCCCATTAAATTCTTTCATTGCAACAAAAAGTTTACACGTATCCGTCAGTTGGCAAGTGTTCTCATTTGGAAAGTTTTCTTATCCTCACCGATGACTTCTCCAAAAAATCATTCATGTCACTGTGTCGTATTTGACCTCCAAAGGTTACCTGACTAGCCCACGTGGGCAGATGTAGATTTCAGTAATTTGAAACTGTTTTCCTTCTCTGGACAGTGATGTTCCATCGGTATTCTGAGTTTGAGTCCTGCAGGAGACCTTGTGGTTCTCAAGTTCTTCCTGAACCGAACAGTTCTGGTCTGTTTCCAGACGTTGGCAAAGAGGAGACATCAGATTAATCAGATTATAGAGAGTAGAACTCATATGTAAAAATAAACCTCAGGCAAACAAGCCTTTGTAGCCTTCAAGAACTCAGAGTTTTATCAAGAAAACAGGCACTGCCAATCTCCAAGAACCAAATATTTTTTGTTGTATTTGAGAAGTGTGCAAAGAACCTTTTCTTTTTTTTCACTAAATGCTTCATTAAATCTTTCATCACAGCATCAACAATCACACAGTGAGTTTGAGGCTCAGTACGCATCAGAGTTTATGTACGTTCATTTGGCCTCAGAAATGACATATTCCTGTTTATGAGTGTACTGGGTGGGACAGCAAATTGCAATGTGTGTGTGGAAGAAGTAGAATATTTCACTGTTTGTATTCAAATGTCAAATGTGCCTGAGTGGGGACCTCTGACACTTAAGTTTATTGGAAAACTCATGGTTCTTTTTTTTTTTTTTTTTTTTTTACTTATTGGCTTTCTGTTTGTGCAGTCGTGTGGGTGGAGGCAGGATTCCTGCTGTTTGTGGGGGTTTGTTTTAGAGTTGACTTTAAGGCTTCAGGATAGAAATCTAACTTTTGCTACATCTCTGTTGCAGTAAAATTTATACTTAAAGCTCCACTTCTCTGCCCCACTTTACAGTTTAGCACATTATAACAATCAGTGTTATATTGTCAGTTCAGCCAGTTTTCTGTTGGATAAGTTACTGTCGCTGCTTTTTTTCCATCTGTCTTTAGTCCTTAGTAAGGTTTTTAATCAAATGTTAATGCAAAATATAACTTCACTACATACTTCACAAATTTATGAGAAGTCAGGAAAAGGTTAAGAAAGGAAAAAAAAATAGTCACCAGCTGCTCTTTTCCCAATCTGGAACTCATTTATTTACATAAAACCCAGCTAGCAAAACTGTATGCTAGCTGGGTTTCATTTAAACCAAGTTAGCATAGAGTTGAGCTTAGATAACCCAACTGCATGTAGTCAGCTTTAGGAAAGATATGGAGTTTTAAAACATTTAATAAAGGTAATGGTTAAAGAAATTTTCTCTGTACAATTCTGTAGATATTATTACAGATTCAAAAATAACTGATCCAACCATAGCATAGTCGGGGAGACACAGTTGGAACAGTCAGATGAATCCCTTCAGTCCTCTCATAAGACTTATATGTTTTGTTCAAATTGTTTCTTTTTCAAAACCAATGTGTCCTTTAAGAAGAGCTTTCTCTTGACCTTAAGAGTTAGCTTTTCTTTGTTGCGCCATGTGTTTGTAAAGCGGTTATTTCCTTCAGTCGTTCACTTTACACTCCCTCATCCACTTTTGGAATAAGGGGCAGAAACAAAGGAGAAGCTCCAATTGTCTTCTACTCAAGCATTTAGGAGAACAGTGACTCGGATGAACAAGAAGCTGTGACCAACTACTATGATCTATGATCACTTGACCAGTGAACAAAAGAAAGTAATTCATTTAGATTAATGACATTAATCTGTACTGAAAGGTTTATTAGAGCAGTTTTTCACATCCAAAAATGACTTGGGAATCTTTGTTCTTGTTGTGAACATATTCTTATAAATGTCTTGTTAACACAATATAGACAGTACATATATTACACAAAAACTAAACTAATTTGGTTAACTCAGCTGTGAGCCACCACTTCTGTTAAGAGTTTGTCCAGCCAGACACACTGCAGTTCATTAGTCCTAAAACTGCACTTTTATTTGATCCAAAATGAATTTTTAGTTTAACATGCAATTGAAACCAAAACTAATGTTACTAAACGGAAAGCTCATCCTTCCATCGTTGGAAATGTTTAATCTTGCTGGCTGAATATGGATAAATAAGGGGTGGCCTAAACATCGTTCTTGTCCCAGTTCAGGGAATTTGAGTTTAACAGTTTTTACTGGTCTTGGTAACCCAACTTGTACAATAACCAGCAAAATAACAGTCTGGGACTATTACCTGATTCCCCTCTTCTCCATGGTGTAGATTACAGTGAATCATAAAGCTATAAAAGTACAGTTTAATCCTCAGCTTTTCCCAGAGCCCAACCAACACAGACATGATAACCTCATTAACACTCTCAGGTGATTCACAGTTTGTTGTGAGAGCACTTGCAGTGCAGTATATCCCCTGATCTGTCCTCTGAGATTTCTCTGCTGCTGATTCTGTCTGACACCACACAGAGAGTTGACGTTTCCAACCTCTGCTGCAGCTGCAGAGAGAAACTTGTCCTTCTCCAGCTCCAAACTCTGCAGCAAAAGACGCAGCAGCATCCTCCTCTCCCCCTGCTAACCGTCTGTCTCAGCTCACATTTTCAGAAAGGGGGAACAGGAGGCTCCTGCACTCATGAATAGTTGAATACCTCAGAACAGCACCGGGCGGGTGGATCTAGGATCAAACCTTACTTAGAGCAGATATACAGCAGACTCCTTCTCGCTTATCCTGCATACCTGCAGTGGCCTTATGTTTGTTAAGACCTTTGTCATAAGGCACCAAAAAAAAAAAAAAAACCTTATACATTTCTTAGTCAAAAGGATTGTTACAGAACAACAGGAACTGTGTAAGATAAAATGCTGCACTCAGGAGTTGTGGGAGTTCAAACCACACCCAGGTAAACACTCAAACCAATCTGTTACTCTAGCTTATGCGTCATCTTTAAACAGCTCGGTTAGAGAATCTATCATTCTTCTCGAATTGCATTTTATTTTGAATGTGTACGTAACAAAGCTTCAGCAAAAACAAGAAGTTGGAAAATTACTTTTTAACTAAGTGGCTAACCTTGTAAAACTTTATTTTGAACTGTTTTTAAACTGTTTCACATGTAGTGCAATGTCTTTGAATGGCAAAAAAACAAAAAACAAAAGCGTAACAAAATGTGTCACTTTGATGTGTTGCCTCTGTTTGGATTGGGATAAGGTAAGTAAAACGCAGAGTACCCACCTTCTTTGGGACAGTGTGTTACTTTTGCCGTGTCATTTTAAATATTTATGAATTAACTAAGCATCTGAGAATGAAAGTTCAACACTCTCAGTGCCTCCAAGTGTACAGATAATTCTTAGCTGAATTAATTTGAAAATAGGCCATTAGTTAGAGCTGCTTCAAGCATTTAACATCCAGAGTTCAGTCAATCTTTATTAGTACATCTTCAAGCTTTAGGGGTTTTTGTGCAGTTTAGTTAGGGTTAGATTAGGGGTATGTTTTACATGTATGATGCAGTAAATACATTTTCTTTGCTGGTGAGCTGTGTGTTTTTGCTGCAATATCAGATGTGTAACAAGGTGCTGCTGTAGCATTATTTACATAAGGCAGCAAATTTCAAGGTAGATCTGCAATAGTGCGATGAGAGTATTAGTCACAGCTTTAAAAGCCTCTCAACTGCAAGTGCTGCTGCAAACTATTTTGTCTGGGTAGATGTGTCTGTCTGAAAACCTGGCAAGAAAATATCTTTCTACCAACAGTGCTGCGGTAAAAACAGAGCAGATCCTCTACAATGTCCATTCAGCTAGCAGGTGGTCATAAAAACAGGATATTTCAGGAGTTGCAGTACTTGATAAAAAGACCAAGTCAAGAAAAATCAGGAAGAATCCAAAGATTTAGAGACTGGAACAACACTAGTTGCTGTTTTGCCCCACCAATGTGTGAAGTTTTTTCAGTTTAACTAATGATGAACTTGTTAGAAATCTAAAGTGTTAAAAGAAAAAAAAATGAATAACTAAAGATTACCATAACAAGCACACATTGTGGTGTCAGTAAGTACATAACTTGGAAAGTCTAAAAGTATGCAGCTTCCAAGCTTTCTTTCCTGACATGACAGTGCCCTAATGGAGCCATTAGCCGAGCAAGCATTATGCATACCTGCAGGAGACAAAGACCACCACGGGGCTGATGCATCATCTACATACCCAGGGATGGTGATGGCTGTAATTATTCCAAGCTCCCATCCTCAGTCTGTGCAATTTTCTGCAAAGCAGAAAGTGGATGTTCGATAACTAAAATGTACATCTACATCGATGTCTGCTCAGCAGGTACCCATGCAAAAAGCTGCACCCTGCCTGCAGAGGCCTGTTCAGACCCCCAGCAAGTGCGACAGAAAAGAAGAGAGAGGGAGAGCGGAAAAGACGTCGGAGGTCTGCAGAAGATGAGGATGGAGGTAGGAGAAGGGAAGAAACACAAGTGAGGAGGAGAGTGGCTATGATTGCCAGCCAGCATGTAGCCGGTAATTACAATGTTGTGTTCTCTCTCTCTCTCTCTCTCTCTCTCTTTCTCTCTCAGTCTCAATCTTTCTCTCTCTCTCTGCCAGCCATTCACACATTTCTGTCTTACAAGCCTGTGTGCTCAAGGTTAATGGGAAGTTGGAGGCAATCTGCTAAATAAAGACTTAAATTCACATGACACATACAGGCAGACAACTTTCTGTGTGGCTGAAAAGGCACAGCTATACTGTTTTTTTTTTTTTTACATTAATGGTGTTATGCTTTAAAACTTAAATACTCTGAGGTGTTTGTACATCCATCAAATCCAGTTAGAGTGCACTGTAATTCAGGAATGTTTCTTGTCTACTGCATTGTCAGCAAATGCTCAATTCCAAGAGTCACCTTTGCCCCTTCTGCTACAAAATAATATTTATCTGGAGCAATATAAAAATATACCCTATTAACATGTGTTAAATGATTTATTTTGTGACTAAGAACTTTTAAATAAAATTTACATTTATTTTTACATTGTTTGAAGTAAAAAAAACAACATTAAAAAAATAAGAGTATTGTTTTCATCCATTGCTGTCAAATGGATGAGAACACATTTAGTAAAGGTATTTCAGTTAACATTTATGTTTAGCCAAATTTATATATCTTTTCTTTTTTCACTTTTACAGATTATTCAAGATAACGTCTTGGTTTAAATCAACTCTGACAAGTTTTGTTACTTTAACATTGTATTTATTTAGAAACATTAATTTCTGCACTGTACTTAGTTTGTAAACTAATCTTATTGGTGTTGAAGGAGCAAAAGGAGGAAGTGTTACTTCACTTCCTGTAATTATAGCTTCCAGTAGACTGCTGACTTCACTGGAAGGGACCAGGTTAAGATGAGGAAGGAAAAAAAACGTATGTAATTTGAAAAGTCAACTTTATGATTTTATTTGCTTTACCTTTTGTATATGTTATTGCCTACATAATGTTGCCTACACAGGTTTTATAAGAGCCGCAGCGGAGGGGCCAAAACATGTGGCCCTGGAGCCGCAGGTTGCAGACCCATGCTCTGAGAATATTCATTATTCACACAAAGTAGAACAGCCTGGCCTTCAGTGCAATCGCTTCTGTTTCTGATTCATTCTTCCTTCCTTCACTTTATCATAGCCTCTAATTTTCTCAGCTTCCTTTCTCCTGCTGTCTTGCATCATTTCTTGCTTCCCCCCCCCATTTCCCTTTTCATTTCTCTCTCTCCAACTGTCTTGCTCATTGACTTCACCATCCTGCTTGGTTTGCCTGCCCCGCCTCCATTCTTGCTCTTTCAATCATACATGCTGATATGCACACACGTAGGCTGGGATACATGAGCATGTCCTCTCCTTCCTGCTGCTCTCCTCCTACTCATTCACCCCCAATCTCAGTCTCTCGCCTGTCTGTCCCGCTCTCGTTTTTATTACCGTCTCTCCATCTCTGCCTCCGTCTCTCTTTGTGTTTATGAGCGGGGCTATATTGAGAGCGTCTGGTTGGTAGACACAGAGGAAAAAGAGGGGGCGAGAGTGCATGATGAGGCAGGAGAAGAGAAAGAGAGACAGATGGAGTGGATGACATGCAGAGCAAAGAAAGATAGTTAGATAATGCATTAAAACCTGCAATAATACATCTGCTCCTAAAAAGTGTAAATGTTAAACAAATACATGCATATTTTATTGAACTGTTTTGCCTTCTATATACATTTTTGACTCGTTAGCAAACATATTTGTGGAAATAGGTTAAATGGCTACTTTACATACCAGTAACATGAAAAAAAAAAGATATACATGAGTATACATAGAATGTGATGAAAACATTAACGAAATGGAGTTAAAATATATGAAGTCTAGAACATGTATGTATGTATGATGATCATGTATCATTTTTTTTCTTTCACTTCACAGCTATGCACTACATCGTGTTGGTCAATCACATTTAACAACAATAAAATACATCAAAGTTTGTGTTTGTAATCTAATAAAATGTAACAACTTGCCAGTGCTATGAATTCTACCGTGAATAAAGATTTCAGTCAGTATTGTTGCAAAGTTACCAAAAACTTTGTGCAAACGGAACAAAAATAAATGAAAAGAGGAATCAGTTCATCTAAATCTACTAGAAAGCGTGCTGTTTTAAATAAGTTTTTTCAGCTTTGACCTATGACAGATACTTGCACAGTGGGAGATCATTACAGTGATTTGGCAGTTCTATAAATCTCTCCAAGCCATCTGACTCCTGCTTGCATCTGAACTAAACTCACAAAGATCTCCAACCGGTTGAAGGAGCACAAGACCCAGAGCCCAGAGAAACAGAAAGTCATCTGTTTTTTTTTTTCTTTAAGTTTATATGTGAAAAAAAACAAAACAAGAAAAAAAAAAAAAAAGCCCCAAGCTCCTCGCCTCTACAAGTTGGAGGCGGATGTGTTGTGATGGCAGCAGCTGGAGTGAATCGTTAGTGGAGAAGTTTGTGGTGTTTGATGACAACATTTACATTTATAACCGCTTCCATTCTAGCATGTATTGTCTCCCTTCGGGGACAGTAGATGCTTCAACTGGAGGCTAGATTGTAAAAGGTGCTTCATCCTAGGGTGCAAAAACAACCCTGTTTACATGTTTATATAACCAAGGTTTTTTGAACCCAGTTAAGGAGTTGATTAAACCAGCAAGAAAAAGTTAAATCCAAGAGTGAATGATCAGAAAGTCAGAGATGGGCTTTTTAAAGTTGTATGGTTTGCAAATACTTTTGAACAAAAAAATGAGTGTGATCCTGTTCATTTTTTTTTTCATATAAGGTTTTGTCTTGCTTTTTGATATCAACTGTCAATTGCGTGTGGTTTTGAAAAGGTAAAATGCTTCCACCAATTGGTTGTTCATGGGCTTAAATAAAAAAGGTATCTGGCTCCAAAATTATGGTAGCCTTGGTGAAGCTGCAGCGCTTAAAGGACCATGGAGAAACATCAACTAGGTGGTAAAAGTCTTGGGGGGGCTCTAAGAGAGGATTTTACAACTTTGCAAGGTTATTGTGCTGTCTTGTTCTCATCTAGACCATAAATACAAATTCAGCTGTAAAAAACAACAAAAGCGTACGTACATGCATTGGAAACATAGCAGTACTAGTTTGATGTCTAAGCAGAACGGTTTTCTTTTGCAAGTAACACCTATAACATTCAAGTACATATTATCCCCAGAGGACTGGGGTCAGTCTGAAAGTGCCCTTCGTCTTGTTATTTGTGTTCTTTGGTGCAGCGAGACAGAAGAGTCAGACGTCTTAACGCTGCTAGAGATGGTGGCAAAATTATGGAACTGACCTTCTGTGGCTTTTTGCATGTACAAAGGATTTGTGAAACTCCTCAGCCTGAGTCACTGAACCTCTCACTCAGAACTCACAAAGCTGTTATTTCAGGATTGTAAAGGAAGACACATGATAGCTGTCATCTTGAGGTGGTCTTTGTATCACAGAAGTGCACATCGTAAGTCAATGGAGTTTACAGTTAGCAGATCTGAATATTTTGGAGCTTGTTGAAGGGAACAGTTGTTTTTGCACCTAGAACTCTTATGAAATTGCTTTCTTTCTTTTTTGGGGGGGGGAACCGGGTTACAGAAAAGTTACGCACTGTGAGAATACTGCAATGCCAACCAGTGGTAACGGTGGCGACAGCGGTTGAACCTTTTTCTGTAAACGGTGGATTGCCGGTTCCATCTGTCTCTGTCGTTGTGTCCATGGGCAAGACACTTCACAGGCTTTGCTGGCTTGTGGTGGTCAGAGGGCCCGATGGTGTCGGTGAATGCAGCTGTGGCTTCAATCCAATGAATGATGCTTGAGTTCCCATCTGCTTTGGAGATTCCTTTCAGTGTTAGCACCCTTTTTTATTGTTTTGTTTCCCTTTATAGATTAGGTTTGATCATTGTAGTTCAAATTCTATAATACTTGGACTAACTAAATCTGAACACACGCATAGTACAAGAGCTGACATCCTGCCACAATATCTGACAGAGCTTTACAGATTTGAAGTTAAGAACATTGAAATAATCAGACATCACACAAAGACATCCATCATCTGTACCCGCTTGTCTTTGCAGGGTAGCAGGGTAACAGTGGTTTCTTATTCTTCGCCTTTTATTCTGACAGAAAAAAAAAAAAACAGTCAACTGATTTTCATGTTTATTCAGTCTACATTTTAATTGGTTCTTGGTATGTTTATTCCGACATGAATATGGTGCAAGCAGTATAAAAAATGTATGTCTATTGATTTCTATATTTAAGAAAAGCAGGACACAGTTTGCAGCAGATCCGCAGCAAACAACTTTTACCATTGCTTTCTGTGACAAAGTTTATCTGCTGGATAACAGGATGGATTCTTTACAGCTTCAAGTATGAATACAGCATGGAGACAAAAGAGACTGTTGAGTTTTAGTCTTGAATGTCTAGCAATGTTTCTGAAACTATATGAAGGCCAATATACTTTTGTCTAGATGAGAAAATGGTGAGCATGTTTCGGGATCTATTGCATAAGCAGCGGAAAAGTATTAAAGACCATTGTCATCAATGATTACCAACGACACTAAATGCACTTTGTGCAAATATATTGAGACCAAGTGGTCAAACTGGCAAATTCCTTCCCAAGAGTTGTTTGATGGTCAACTGCTGAAAGATTACAAACCACACATACAAAAACAAAACACGTTTTTGTTGCTGTTACAAAATGTTCTGTTTGTTGTGTGTCTGTAGCTGAATTAGGAATAATTCATTTGTGAATGTGAAAGGCCAGTTGTTGAAGTAATTGTTCCATGTTTGTGTATCATGCACCCAAGTTTAAGTGAAACTACAAAGTTGGCATAAATAGATGACCAGTAAAGTGAAATTGCTGGACAAGAGAGTCAACTAATGCCACTTCATGCAGAGCAAAAATCAACCTAATGTTTATCACTTT